AGAAAGAAAGAAAGAAAGAAAGAAAGAAAGAAAGAAAGAAAGAAAGAAAGAAAGAAAGAAAGAAAGAAAGAAAGAAAGAAAGAAGGAAGGAAGGAAGGAAGGAAGGAAGGGAGGAAAGAAAGAGCAAGAAAGAAAGATGAATACACCAGTGCTGAGGGCCACTGGAGGTCCCCATGGAACCCACAAATTTTAGACTTCCAGTATACTGGACACAGTGCTTGTTTTCATGGTCTTTCTGACCAACTATATATACATAGGGTGAAACTCTCCTGCCCATATCTTTAAGAAAGCCCTAGTCACACACCAGTGGCTCACACCTGTAATCCTAGCTACTCTGGAGGCTAAGATCTGAGGATTTTGGTTTGAAGCCAGCTGGGGCAGGACACTCAGTGAGAATCATCTCCAGTTAACCACCAAAAAGCCAGAGGTGGAGCTGTGGCTCAAGTGGTAGAGTGCTAGCCTTGGGCAAAAAAAGTTTAGGGATAGCACCAGGCCCTGAGTTCAAGCTCTAGCAGAGAAAGAGAGAGAGAAACAGAGATAGAGAGGAAGAAAGAGAGAGGGAGAGAGAGAAAGGGAGGGGAAGAGGGAGGGAGAAGGAAAGAGAGAGAAAAGTGAGAGGGAAGAAGGCAAGGAGGGAGGGAGGGAGAAAAGGCCCAATCCCAGGAGATACCAGGGAGAAAAGCAGCTTTCTCGGATTGGGCAGTGGCAATACGAGGCTTGCTAGGAGGGCCAGGCATGAAGGTTTGCAGGAATCTGACTATAGCTAGAGGAGTCACATACCAATGAGGGCCAAGCAAACTAAGGCCCATTCAGATAGGCAAACCTTGAGAACTTGAGGTACCGAAGAGGTTGAGGTTCAGAGTTCAAGGTGATGGTTCTAGAGAAGAAAGCATGGAAAATGTTCTCTGATCCTAGGAAAATGTTCTTTTCCTTAACTAATTTATTCTTCCTTCCATATGTGGGTCCACAGTTGTGCCATGGTTGTCAGAGGGAAGTTGGGAACAAGTAGGTGGCTGGTTTCCATGATCAGGGCAAGGGCAGAGGTCAGAGAAACAGCTGATGCTGAAATCCTGTATCAGTTTGTATGCCCCGAGTCTAGGCTGTCTTCTTACCCTCCAATCTTCCTGCTGGCTCTCCTTATAGGCCACTTCCTTCTCACCTACCTGCTCCTGGGAAGGTTAAAGGAATCTGCTCCGGCACGAGTGGTGAACCTGTCTTCAGTGGTTCACCTCATGGGCAAGATTCGCTTCCATGATCTTCACGGTGATAAGCGCTACTGCCGTGGTTTTGCCTATTGCCACAGCAAGCTGGCCAATGTACTTTTCACTCGCGAGCTGGCCAAGAAGCTCCAAGGTAAACCTAGAGAAAGAGTCAGGATTAAAATAATACAAGCAGCCTTTTGGGTCAGGTTATAGGTTCACAGAAATTCTGGAGTCAGGCGGTGGAAACATGTATATTTCAGTAGCAGCTCTGTGTACTAAGAAGGATGAAGTTACAAACAGAATAGTCCCCTCCCCTCCCGGGAAGCTTAACATTGAATAGGTGCTAGAAACCCCGTTAAATCTACCTTACACCCATCACATTTATTTTTGTGTGTATGTACAGTACTGAGATTTGAACTCAGGACCTCATGCTCTTGCTTATTTTTTTTTTCCTGTGCTCAAGGTTGGTGCCATTTTCCTCCACTTGGAAGCTTTTTGCTTGTTAATTGGAGATCAGAATCTTTCAGATTTGTCTCCCTGGGCTGGATTTGAACTAGGATCCTCAGACCTCAGCTTCCTGAGTAGCTAGGATTACAGGCACAAGGCATCGGCCCTTGACCCCAGCCATCACATTTTATCTTATATCTGTTTTTCATATTATTCTGATATCAACCCTTTGTGATAAGCAGAGCAGATGTTATTATTTCTTTTTCTTTTTGAGGGGGGGGAGACAAAACTGGTACCCAAGAAAATGGCTGACTTACAGTAAGGTAGATTGGATTGTGGGTGCTCTGCCCTAAATCTGGGGTGGTGCTTCCTCCTGTGTGTCATTTGCTGAGGTCACATAGTAAACCAATCTACACTTCCAGGCTCAGGGAGACAGGGCTCCATTTGGGGCCTTTCCACAAAGCTCTGTGTGTATGTGTGCATGCCCCCTTAATCCCCCCGACTCTGTCTTCTAAGCTGTAAAATGAGCTTAGACTAATTCTTTACCAATGATTCTGTGCTTGCTGGGGTTTTACATGAGCTGCTAGCTCTGACATCTGTGAATCAGGCAAGCATTTATTATGCTAAATTAACCATTTGGGGGAACAAAAGCCTTTACTCTCAGAGTGCCAAAGGCAGAAGACTAGTCATAAAAATTAATAAAAATGATATAAGAGCTGTGCACCAGTGGCTCACACCTATAATCCCAGCTACTCAGGTGGCTGAGATCTGAGATCACTGTTGAAGTCAGATTGGTGGACAGGAATGTTCATGAGCTTTTTTTTTTGTCAGTAGTGGGATTGAACTCAGGGCTTGGGCACTGTCCCTAAGCTTTTTTGCACAAAGTTAGTGCTCTACCATTTTGAGCCACAGCACCACTTCTGGTTTTCTAGTGGTTAACTGGAGGTAAGAATATCACAGATTTTCCTGCCTGGGCTACCTTTGAATAACAATCCTCAATCTCACCCTTTTGAGTAGCTAGGAGGCATGAGCTACTGGTGCCCAGCTGTCCATGAGATTTATATCTCCACTTAACCACCAAAAAACCCCCCAAAGGAACCTGTCACTGCTGGACGCCAGTGGCTCCCGCCTACAATCCTAGCTACTCAGGAGGCTGAGATCTGAGAATCTCGGTTCAAAGCCTGGCAGGAACATCCATGAGACTCTTATCTTAAATTAACCACCAGAAAACTGGAAAACTGGGAAAAAAAATGTTGTGAGGCTTAAATGAGCTTAAGCCATATAGTACAAAAAGCACACAAGCTTCCAATTCTTAAATGTTTTTGCTTGGTTTGTTTTGTTGAATCAGGGCCTGGGTGCTGTACCATAGATTTTTCTTTTTACTCATGGTGGATATGGTACCACTTGAGTCATAGGTTACTATTTTTTTTGGTCAGTTGTGGGGCTTGAACTCTGGGCCTGAGCCCTATCCCTGTGGTCTTCAGCTCAAGGTGAGCACTCTACCACTTGAACCACAGCGCCACTTCCAGCCTTTTCTGTTTATGTTGTGCTGAGGAATCAAACCCAGGGCCTCATGCATGCAAGGCAAGCACTCTACCACTGAGCCAACTTCCCAGCCCCCCTCACAACATTTTTATGAGGTGGATACTCTTACTCCCCTTCCCATCTATAAATGAAGAGACAGGCATAGGTATATGGAGCAAGTTTCCTAGTTGAGCCAGGCAGCTTGGAACTGGAGGCCATGTAATCAATGTTCAGACTTCCACCTTGCAGCCTGTTAGGTATGACCTCAGGCACTTTGCTTAATTTCTCTGTGACTCAGTTTCCTCAGTTCTAAATGGGCATTTAAGTGTTGATTACCTTGAAGTCTTTTTTTTTTTTTTCTTGGTTGGTCGGGGCTTGACCTCTGGGCCTGGGCGCTGTCCTTGAGCTCTTCAACTCAAGGCGAGTGCTCTACCACTTGAACTACAGCACCACTTCCCATTTTCTGGTGGTTAATTGGAGATGAATCTTATAGGTGGCTTTGAATCGTAATCCTCAGATCTCAGCTTCCTGAGTAGCTAGGATTACAGGAGTGAGCCACAGTGTCCAGCTTGTAAGAACTTTAATAATGGCCTTGTAAAAATCTTTTAGAGGAGATAAACATAATTTTTCAATTTTATGTATTTAAGCAATTGCCTGTTGTTCTTAAAATGTACAGATACACAGATACTTATTTAGAGGACAGCAAAATTTAATGTGTATATAGCATCCCTTTTTTTTTAATCGGTCATGGGGCTTGACCTCTGGGCCTGAACGCTGTCCCTCAGCTCTTCAGCTCAAGACTAGCGCTCTACCTACCGCTTGAGCAACAGTGCCACTTCTGGTTTTCTGGTAGTTTATTAGAGATAAATATTTCACAGCCTTTCCTGCCTAGGCTTGCTTTGAACTGCGAGCCTCAGATCTGCCTAAAGCCGGAATTTTTTAGTAGTTCGTTGAGGTAAAAGAAGTTGGACATACTTAAAATATCATTTTATGCACTTTGTCAAACCATGTACACATAAATCCATAACTACAGTTAGATAATGAACACGTTCTTCATCCAGACACGTTTCGGTATCGCTGGATGATGTCTTCCTTTCCCTCTTTCCTTCTGCATCTCGCCATTGTTTTCAGCCAGTGGCTTCCTTGGCTTTGCTATAGATTGAGGTGGGAGAATTGAATTTTAAATTGGAATTGTTTTTATTTCCACAGAAACTGGACCAGGATCTCAATGAAGTCAAAGCTCGAGTAGAAGAACTGGACAGAAAATATTACGAAGTAAAAAATAAAAAAGATGAATTACAAAGTGAAAGAAAGTTAGTTATAGACTAAAATATACATGAATTATGTGGTTCTTATTGTTCAGACTTGATTTCAATATTTTGTTCTAAAGTATATCTTGCGTGTTTAAAATTAAAGGCCTTCTAATTTCTATTGGTTAGTTACTTGTGGAGAGAGGAGAATGCAGAACAGCAGGCACTTGCTGCAAAAAGAGAAGACCTTGAGAAGAAGCAGCAGCTCCTTCGTGCGGCCACAGGAAAGGTGGGCAGCTTCTTTCACTACCGCCATTAGTTCTGGTAGTATGAGGATAGAGTCCAAATCGATTATAAGTACGAAATAGTTGGATTTTTAAGTGGTAGTAGAGACTATCACTCATGGTATTTAGTTTCTTTGGTGTGGTGGTAGTACTGGTATTGGGGCTTGAACTCAGGACTTGAGTGCTGTCCCTTAGCTTTTTTTTTTGTTGTTAATTTCTTTATTGGGGTTTAGGACATGGGATGAGAAAGGTCACCTTGGGGCATGCCCTTCCTCCCAGGTCCCTTAGCTTTATTACTTAAGCCTGGCAACACTGCCACTTGAACTATAGCTGTACCTCTGACTTTTTTTTTTTTTTTTTTTGTCGGTCGTGGGGCTTGAACTCTGGGCCTGGGCGCTGTCCCTCAGCTCTTCAGCTCAAGGCGAGCACTCTACCACTTGAGCTACAGCGCCACTTCCGGTTTTCTGGTGGTTTATTGGAGATAGGAGTCTCACGGTCTCTCCTGCCCGGGCTGGCTTTGAACCACGATCCTCAGATCTCAGCCTCCTGAGTAGCTAGGATTACAGGCGTGAGCCACCAGCGCCCGGCCCTTGAAGTCTTTTTAAGAATTAAGTGAGAGTTTGGCACGCTGGCTTACACCTGTAATCCTAGCTACTCAGGAGGCTGATGTCTGAGGATCAAAGGCAGCCCAGGCAGGAGAGTTTTATCTGCAATAAACTATTTAAAAAAGAAAAAGAAAAAGGCTAGAAGTGGTGCTGTGACTCAGTGGTAGAGTCCTCACCTTGAGCGAAAGGAGCTCAGAGACAGCACTCAGCCTGGACTTCAAGCCCCAAACCAACAACAACTGGAAAAAAAAAAGAAAAGGGATTACATGAAAAGACTGGCATGGTGGTACACATCGATAGCAGCTCTTGGGCAGGCAGAGGCAGGAGGATCTCAATTTGAGTCCAGCCTAGGAAAAGTTAGTGAGACTCTCTAAAACAAAAAGGACTGATGGTCTAGCTCAAGGGGGTAGAGCACTTGGGTTAAATCCCTAGTAACACACACACATACACACACGAATTAAGTGGCACAATGCCGGGTGCCAGTGGCTCACGCTTGTCATCCTACTCAGGAGGCTGAGATCTGAGGATCGCGGTTCAAAGCTAGCCTGGGCAGGAAAGTCCGTGAAACTCTGACCTCCAATAAACCACCAGAAAACTGGAAGTGACATAGAGGCTCAAGTGGTAGAGCGCTAGCCTCAAGCTGAAGAGCTGAGGGACAGCGCCCAGGCCCAGAGTTCAAGCCCCATGACTGACGACAAAAAAGAAAAAAAAAGAATGTTGCACAGCCTTTATTCATAATAAGTAGTGAAAATCATGGTGCCACAGTAGTGTTTTGGGGGACAGGTTAATCTTCTGTGGACTCCAATCCCTCTCAATCTGTACCTCATAAAATGTGCATGCTGGGCAAATGCAGCACCGCACTAGGCTCAACCCTCTTCCAAGCCCTCTTCCAAACAGATGGTTGCCATAGAAAGGAAGAAAGTTGCCAGGTGCTGGTGGCTCACACCTGTAATCCTAGCTACTCAGGAAGTTGAGATCTGAGGATTGTGGTTTGAAGCCAGCCCAGGCAGGAAAGTCCTTGAGACTCTTCTCTCCAATTAACCACCAGAAAACTGGAAGTTGAGCTGTGTCTCAAAGTGGTAGAGTGCTAGCCTTAAGCAAAAATGCTCCAGGATAGTTCCCAGGCCGAGTTCAAGCCCCACAACCGACACACACACACACACAAACACACACACACACACCCCAGAAACAAAAACAAAAAAAGAGAAAGTCCCACCCACAGAAATAAAAGAGACGTCGCTGGGAATTCTTAGTAGTAGTACTTAAGCTGTAGTATCAAGGTGACATTGAAGTGGGCTCCTTCCTTTGGAGCATAGAAGACTGTGGATTTTTCTAGAACAGCTCAATTCTGGCTGGCCAGCAGTAGGTGCCAACCCTAGGGTTGTGCTTCTCGAGTCCCTTCTCTCCCTTGTGTATTTCCTGCCGCCTTGTGCTGTGGCGGTGGGTGGTCTCACTGTGCCCGCTTTCTGCCCTAGGCACAGGAGTCACCACCTATGCGGTGCACCCAGGCATCGTCCGCTCGGAGCTGGTGCGCCACTCATTCATACTGTGCCTGTTCTGGCGACTCTTCTCTCCCTTCATCAAGTCAGCACGGCAGGGGGCACAGACCAGCCTGCACTGCGCGCTGGCTGAGGGCCTGGAGCCTCTGAGTGGCAAGTACTTCAGGTGTGTAGGGGCAGTGTGCGGTCTTTCCATTGGCTGGGTGAGTGGCTTGGTGTCCCGCAGCTGAGTTTGTGCCTGATGGAATCCAGGTTTGGGCTGAACCTGCCAACAAATACGGTTAGGTTTCCAAGGGAACGTGTATTAGAAATAATATTAGAATGAATTGTTTTCATGTTTTATACCTGTGTGCTATGGTTTCACATCAGTTTGTAGCTACTAAAGACTCTCCCTGTTGGTTATGCTAAGGAAAGAACATTTGTGAACCCTGTGGAGCCTTCTCTTGACTGATTCTACTATTTCCTTCCTTCCTTCCTTCCTTCCTTCCTGGTGTGAGCACTGGGGCTAGAACTCGGGGCCAGGGTGCTGTCCCTTAGCTTTTGCATTCAAGGCTGGTTCTCTTGAGCCCCACATTTACGTCTGGCTCTTTTGTAGTTAATTGGAGGTAAGAGTCTCACAGGCTGGCTTGGAACTCTGATTACTAGATCTCTTCCTCCTGAGATCTGTCATCCTAGCTAGGGATTACAGGTGTGAGCTACTAGAGCCCAGCTATTCTTAGTTTTTTTATTCTAAGCCAGGCACCAGTTGCTGCTGGCTACTCAGGAGGCTGAGATCTGAGGATGGTGGTTCAAAGCCAGCCCAGGCAGGAAAGTCTGGGAGACTTTTTTTTTTTCTTGGTCCGGTCGTGGGGCCTGAACTCGGGGCCTGGGCGCTGTCCCTCAGCTCTTCAGCTCAAGGCTAGCACTCTACCACTTGAGCCACAGCGCCACTTCCGGCTTTTTTTCCTGCTAATATGGTGCTGAGGAATCAAACCCAGGGCCTCATGCGTGCAAGGCAAGCGCTCTACCACTGAGCCAACTTCCCAGCCCTGGGAGACTCTTATCCCCAGTAAACCACCAGAAAACTGGAAGTGGTGCTGTGGTCAAGTGGAGGGCACTCGCTTTGAGCTGAAGAGCGCAGGGACAGCGTCCAACCCGAGTTCAAGCCCCACAACCAACAACAACAACAAAAAAAATGATTCTGCTCAGCAGAAAGTGCTGGACAGAGTCTCTTCCAAAGAGAGTTCTGTCTCCCAATGTTGTCAATATGGGTGTTGTCTGTTGGAATATAGAAACAGACAGTACTGAACAGATTCAGCACTGAATCTTATCACAAATTCCATGTGCAGTTGGAGTTTGAGGATAAAGGGAAGTCCAGGATTAAATCACTTTCCCACTCCATGATTTCATCCAACCCAGTCTCCCTGGTTGCCTGCTCTGTTCAAGGCTGCCCATCATTGCCCCGATTGCTAAGTGAAGCATTGGAAATAACCTCAGTATCTAACCATCGGGGAATGGATAAATATCTAAGTGATTTGTGTGTGTATTAATTTATAAATCATCAGAATCCCGAGAGGTAGATAACTTTATCTCCATTTTACAGATGCAACTGAGGTATAGGACAATTAAGAAACATGCCTGTGTTCATGGTTTGTAAGTTAGAAGACCAAGGTGTACAGCAGGGCAGTCTGACTCCAGACCTGTGCCGCTCTGTGTGGGCTGCCATTATCTGCATGGAGCCACTGAACACTTGAAATATGACAGTCGCTCAAGTGAAGATTTGCTGTAAGGATAAAATGCAAACCAGATTTTGAAGACACAGTATAACAAAAGAAATGTAAACTATTAATTTTTATGTTGGTTATGTGCTGAAATGATTCAGCTATATTGGGTTCAATAAGATTCAGTACTGAAATTAATTTCACTCATTTCTTTTTACCTTTTTTTAGTGGAGGTCAGGATCACACTATATAGGCCAGACTGGCCTCAAACTCTATCCTCTTGCTTCAGCCTCCTGAGTGCTGGGATAACAGATGTGTGCCACTATGTCCAGCTGCTGCCGCCGCCGCCTCCTCCTCCTCTTCTTCCTCTTCATCTTCTTCCTCCTCCTTCTTCTTCTTTTTTTTTGTGTGTGTGTGCCAGTTCTAGGGTTTGAATTCAGGACTTTTTGCTCAAGGCTAGTGCTCTACCACTGGAGCCACAGTACCACTTCTGGCTCTTGCTGAGTGGTTTAGTGGAGTTAAGAGTTTCATGGACTTTCCTGTCCAGGCTGGCTTTCAACTGTGATCCTCAGATGTTAGCCTCTTGAGTAGTGAGGATTACAGGCTTGAGCCACTAGCCTTTGGCAAAGCCCAGTTTTGTATTCTATCCTACCCTATTATCCTGCTAGCCCCCAGTACCTCCAAAATAAACAGCGCTTAGTTTAGGACTCACAGGGTGCAAGTGACTCTGGATGGAATTCAGAGTGTTCAAACACTTTATAAGAAAAAATAATTTTACCTTTCATTTCACAAACCTCCCTTTGAAATGTAGCATTTCCTTCCATTGTGAACACAGGCAGGGAGCAATGCGCATGACTCGGTCACCCGTGGAATTATAGATATGCTTGTGTCACACTGCAGTCCTTGTAGATGTCCCATGATGTCCCATTCTGCTCTCTGCTACTTTGGAATCTGCTGGCTACTAATCCTGGCTCTGGGTCTTGTTGTAGAATATATGAATGAAGAAGCCTGTTTTAAAATATTTTAAAATGCAGTTTAATATAGTTTCTTAGAATCTGGTCTACTATATATTTGGAAATATATTCTGAGAAAGAGACTACCAACATTCCCATATGGTCAATTCTCACTCCTGTTATCCAACCACGATCTTTTCCCTCCAGTGACTGCAAGAGGACCTGGGTGTCCCCCAGGGCCCGAAATAAGAAAACAGCGGAGCGCCTGTGGGATGTCAGCTGTGAGCTTCTAGGAATCCAGTGGGAATAGCTTGTGGGAAGGCCATGGCTGTATCAGGCCCAACCCATGCCATCATGAAAGGAGACCAAAGAGAAGGCCAACCCTAAAGGATTGTCTTGTTGGCGTCTGATGTTGCTGTGAATGCTGCCTGTTCTCATCCTCCTGACCCTCCTGGGAACCTTTAAATACACAGCCCTGCTGTGAAGCGGCATGGCACAAGACTTGCACATGTACTGACCATTCTTGAAGATTTAGAGAGTTGGCAAGCTTCTGTATTAAGAGGACTGGGCAGATCCCAGGCTGGACGTGAGGTGTATATGTGGGAGGGAGTGTGGGAGGGGAGTGGGAGAAGAACCTAAGAAATTAGGTCTGTTTCCTCAACTTCGCTGGAAACACTAAGTATGTGAGTGCAGCTGGGGGTCCAGGTGCGTCAGCATTGCATATTTCCAGGGGAAATATGCCTCATAGTCTTGATGGGCTTCTTTCCTCTTTGAATGCAATACAGATCTAGACCCTGGAATCTGGATAACTCAGGAAAATCATGGATGACTTGGACCAAATTTTCTTCCATTGGGAAGCTGGGAGCCACTCCCAGATGTGAAGCTGGGCCTTCCCATTTTCTGTCATGTACATGATCTCCTTTTTCTAAAGAGTTCTCTTCACCTCCATTTTTAGAGAAAAATAAATATTTATATTCATTTCATTGCCTCACATTTTTTTCTCAGGTAAAAATGTAGCAGAGAGGGGCTGGGAAGGTGGCTCAGTGGTAGAGTGCTTGCCTTGCATGCATGAGGCCCTGGGTTCAATTCCTCAGCACCACATAAGCAAAAAGAAAAAAGCCAGAAGTGGCGCTGTGGCTCAAGTGGTAGAGTGCTAGCTTTGAGCTGAAGAGCTGAGGGACAGCACCCAGGCCCAGAGTTCAGGCCCCCCCCCCCAAAAAAAAATGTAGCAGAGAGAGGAAGCCAGCCTACCACTTCAGTGAGTAGGATTGCCCTATCCATTCACCTACCCACTGACCATGGCTTTTTTGTTAATGGGTTTCATCATGACATTTTCATACATATAGATCAGGAACATGTTTTTCCCATTTCCCATATTTTTCCTGCTCCCTTAAAAGAAAGCCAAAAAACAAAACAAAACAAAAGCCTTTTCAGCCAGGCACTGGTGGCTAGCACTTATAACCTGAGCTACTCAGGAGGCTAAGATCTGAGGATCGCAGTTCGAAGCCAGCCCAGGCAGTCCATGAGATACTTACCTCCAATAATTTACCAAAAAAGTTGGAAGTGGAGCTGTGGCTCAAGTGGTAGAGTACTCGTCTTGAGCAAAAAGAAGCTCAGGGACAATACCTAGGTCCTGAGTTCAAGCCTGGGACCAGCAAAAACAAGAAAGATGAAGGAAGGAAGGAAGAAAGGAAGGAAGGAAGGAAGGAAGGAAGCACTTTAAAATGTTTTCCCCTTTTTATTCTGGGGAATAGAGCCTCACACATGCTGGCAATTGCTCTACCACTAAAGGACCCTAGTCCTGTTTTGAAATAGACAAAAGTAGAGCAAATAAGATCATGAACTCCAGCCACTTTTCAGCCAGCTTCAGTATTGTCAGCATATCAATCTTCTTTCGCCCATCTGTCGCATGATAGCTTTGGGTAGGGGATGGGAAAGGGATATTTTATTTATGAAGCCAAGTTCTGTCTTTCCCTTTTATTGTGTAGCAACCCGGTCTGGTTTCCTTGCTGTCCTTCCTCCGTAAGCTTCGTGTTTCACTGAGGAATGATCCTGGGTTTGCTCCTGGGATGTTGTCCCGTAGCACAGTAGGAATGCCATTCCTCTGGGCAATATGCCCTGCAAGGCAGACCGTAATAAAGCACTAGGCAGTCATAACCACTTCAGTTTCTCTTACTAAAAACCTCAAAAATCAAATTGCATCACTATTACTATTCCTAACAACATTAATAATCCTATCACTTCGTACTTCAGTTATGTTCTCTTTTCCTGTTTGTCTTGCCAATGTTTTTTTTGTCATTTATTTTTTCCCAGTCTAGGGGCTCCAACTCAGGGCCTGGGCACTGTCCCTGGGCTAATCTTTATGCTCAAGGCGAGTGCTCTGACACTTGAATCACAGCGCTACTTCCAGCTTTTTCTGAATAGTTTATTGGAGATAAGAGTCTCAGACTTTCTTGGCTGGGCTGGATTCAAACCATGATCCTCAGATCTCAGCTTCCTGAGTAGCCAAGTGTGAGCCACCTGTGCCCAGCCAGCCAATGTCTCCTTTTCTTTTCTTTTTTTTTTTTTTTAATGCTGGTCCTGAGCCTTGAACTGAGGGCCTGGGTGCTAACCCTGAGCTCAAGGATAGCCGTCTACCACTTGAGCCACAGCTCCATTTTTGTTTTTTTCAGTAGTTTATTAATTAGAGAAAAGTGTCTCATGGACTTTCCTGCTCAGGCTGGTTCAAATCATGACCTTCAGATCTCGGCCTGAGTAGCTAGGATTATAGATATGAGCCACCAGTGCCCGGCTTCACCAATGTCTTTTTATTCTTGGTTTGTTCAAATCAGGGAAGGAAAGTGGCCCTAAAAAAGAGAGAAGGCTTTTCTTTCTAGAAGAGCCACAGTCTCCTTATGACATTAGTTGGAATGGTATGCTGGGTTCCTTGGATCCACTACTGTGGTAGGCCCTCAGGTGGGATAAGCCAATCACTACCCACACATAAGCCAGGGCCCCTCCCCTTCCTTTCACCCAGGGGTGAGACCAATAGCTTAAGTAAAGCATTTACATGAATTAGATATTCTTACAAGAGCTTTTGGGGTAGTTATATAGTTACCTCTATTTTACAAGTGGGGACACTGAGGCTCAGAGAAACTTCCCAATGTTCTCATATGTGGTAAGTGGTAAAGTGGAACCAGGTAAACAGATAGCTTTTCTTTTCTTTCTTTTTTTTTTGGTGCCAATGTTAGGGCTTGAACTCAGGGCCTGGCTGCTATCTTTTAGTGTTCTCACTCAAGGCTGGTGCTCTATCACTTGAGCCATAGCTCTACTTCTGGCTTTTTGCTGGTGAATCAGATGTAAGAGTCTCATAGACTTTCTTGCCTGGGCTGATTTTGAACTGCAATCCTCATATCTCAGCCTGAGTATCTATGATCACAGGTATGAACCACAGTACTTAGCCGAGAGAGCTTGTGCTCTTTTAAGAGTCCTCGGCTGCTTCCAATGGTGTAGGAAGTGGCATATTTCCCTGAGCCTCCAGTTCAAGCTACATGTTGCCTATCTCCAGCTTACCCAACACCAAAATTATTGTCTATTGCTCATCCTGGACCAGTTCCATTTCTTTTCCCTTCTCCTGTCTCCTCTCTACCCCCGCCCTGGGGTAAAAATTCTTTTCCAATTTTGCTTGCCTGAGAGACTGTTATATATTTCTTTAAAATAAACCAAGAGAGGAAAAAAAATTAAAGGGATTAGTACAGATTCCCTTGGTTGCAATCTAGCCCACATCCAACTCAATTTAGCAAACAGTATTGCTAGACATGCAATGTTACCTTTTCCTGGAGGACCTACTTTGTGTATTATTGGATTCCCTTTGTTACAAAATAGACACTCACTTTGAGCAAGGCAGGCCAAAAACCATGAAATGTCTTGCTCAAAAAACTCAAGGAAAAATTGAAAGTGATAAATGGGGAAGGGTAGAGCAGGGATGAATCTCAGAAATTAGGATCCAAGTAGTAAATGACTGTGTTTTTACCTTGATTGTTAAAAACTCTCAAGTTTTATAACTCTTGGTTTCTAGCAGCTACTTCTTAATTTCCGAATTAAAAAACCCCAGGTTCAGCTTGGATCAAATGCTTATTGTGAAGCATTAAGCTGTGCTAAGGGGGAAAGAATCAGGTAAGAATTTGATCTGTGTAGAATTAGCTTTTCAAGCACGAGACCAACAAGGATTACTCAGTACATGGTGTCAGACAAGTAGCTATTCAAATGAAAACATGAAGTTTTTGTTTAGAAATAAGGATTAGAAGAAAATATGGAAAAATATCTTTAAGCCCCTAGAAGGAGAATTTCTTCTACCCCTCTCCCCTTGTCCCTCCCGGCCCCCTGGTGCAAAGTACCCATTTCCTGGTATTTATTTTGTTGGGCTTTGACTTAGTCTTTCTAAAGAATTATACTATTTGAGATCTCCATAGAGTGAGTCTATTAACTTCAGTTAATTCATTTATAACAGCTTGCATACCATTCAATGGGTTTACTTGTAGATTTATAGGCACATGCTAGCTCCCACACATGAAGGAAACTGCAACCTGTGTTTCTCTGGGTCTGGCTTATACCAGTTAATATATTTTCTTTCCATTTCCTTACAAAGGACACAATAGTCTTTTAGATGGATGAGAATTCCATTGTGTATAGATATCACATTTTCTTGATCCATTCGTCCATCGAGGGTCATCTGGGCTGACTTAATATCTTGGCTGTGGTAGATAGTGCTGAAGTGGGGAAAAGGAGTAGAATGCAGGCAAGAATGCCTGTATATTCCACAGAGTTGAGAAAAGTACGAGGAGGAGTATGAAGATGTTGGAGGGATGGCACAGCTCAAGATGCATTGTATACATAAACTACTTTGTTAAAGGGAAAAAAATTCCAAATGTGACCTAACAATTAAGAAAAGTCAGGAAAGGAGTCTGGGTGAGAATATTGAGAGGTGACTTTGATCAAGAGGTGACACTATATTCATGAACTGCTTCGTAGAGTTGCAACTCCTTTGTACAACTATTTAAAGATAATACAAATATTTTTTTTTGGTGGGGGGGGTTTGAACTCAGGGTGTTGAACTTGCTAACTTGCCATACTGGCAACACTGAAGGTCTCCTTAGGTAACATGAAAAGCATATGGGGAAAAGAAATATAGCTTCCTGAGGTCCTGGAATGATTTCCAGAATCAAAGAACACTGCCTTCTGAGCACTAGGGCAGAGGTAATAAATTTGCATAACTTCATAAGCAATAAATTTGGTTACTTAATTTTTTCCATTATGCTAAGCTAAATAAATCAGACACAAAAGGACACTGCATGACTCTACCTATATGAGATGCATAGAGTAGACACATTAACAAGGTAGGGGTTGCCAGGGGGTGAAATGAGAAATGGGGAGTTGGTGTTTAGTGGGTAGAGTTTCAGTTTGAGATGATGCAAGACTTCTGGAAACACAGTTGTGAAGATTGCTTAAAAATATGAACGTGTTTAGGCCGGGCATCGGTGGCTCATGCCTGTAATCCTAGCTACTCCGGAGGCTGAAATCTGGGGATCCCACGGTTCAAAGCCAGCCTGGGCAGGAAAAGTCCACGAGACTCTTATCTCCAATAAGCCACTCAGAAAACCGGAAGTGGCACTGTGACTCAAGTGGTAGAGCCTTAGCCTTGAGCTGAAGAGCTGAGGGACAGTGCCCAGGCCCAGAGTTCAAGCCCCACGACCAACCAAAAAAAAATGTATTTAATGCCATGGAAGTGTAAACATATATATGGTAGAGTTACATGATGTATATTTTAGAATAAAAAATTAAGTCTTTCAAGGATTCTGAGTTGTATCTGTTTAGAAAGATTTTCAATACGTCTAGATGATAAGTCCTTTTATTCTTCTAGAATTCCTTTTACTCTAGAAGTCTTTTTATTCTTCTAGAATTA